GGAAATAGTAGGAGCAAACATTTAATGTGTCTCAGAAATGAGGACATTTGGTAGGAATACAGCGTAGAACATACACTGAAGATAGTGAGCATAGTGGACAGAAACAGGAAAACAAATATAGTCAAACTTCGATTCTTGAACACCTTGGTTCTTGGACAATTTGGTTCTTAAATAATATGGTTCTCGACCAAGTTGCTTATGGATAAAATGTCCCCATTGTGTAACAAAGCTTCAGATCTCGATTTTCTGCCTGATGACCCTTCCCTGCTGACACCTGTATGATCAGTCACATGTCAGGTGACAAGCAAAGGAGATTCTGTTTTCAAACAAATTACTACTCAGTTTTCAGAACCAATTAAGTTCAAGAACCAAAGTTCCACTGCGTTGAACAGATTTGGGGAGAACATATGTGAGATATAGCGGACAGAGATGTGTCAGGATTACATTTTAGAGTCTCTGAATAGCACAGCCAAAATAGTAGAATAGAGTGAATATTTACAGATATAATTCAAGAAAACTTTTCAGAAATAACAGGAGATTTAAATGTACATGTTGAAAGAGCATACCATGTACCATGGGATAATGACCCACAATGTTTAACACGAGGTCTATCCTAGCAAAGTCATTGGACTTGAAAGAGTAAGAGATACAGTGTGGGTGTCCAGGCAAAAAGACCAAGTCATTTACGAGGGGGAAATAATGGGTTTGCCTCAGACTTTGCAACCTCAGGAAGAGAAGACAATGAACCAATACCTTCAAAATAAATTCAGGAAGAAAAATGGAAGCCATGAATTCTGTATTAAAGATCACATTCAGTCTGTCCTTCAAGTACAAAGATTACCAAGAAAAGTTTTAAACATTCAAGAATATATTGTTTATGAGTTATGTTGTTTGAGGAACAACATAACTCTTGATTGAAACTACGAGATTGCATGTCATTGAACTTTTTGAGGAAACTATTGAAAGATGAACCTGAACCTCAGCAAACAAAAGATAACTGGGGAAGCCACAGTAAAAGAATTCATATATTGAATATATTTAATTCTGGAGCCGAACCTGAAATTAAGGGGGGGGATTGGTGTGAAAGAAAAGGAAATTGCTCTGATAATTAACAAATGTTGGAAGAGGAAAAGAGAAAGAAGATGGAATATAAGGTGATTTCCTCATGCGTAGTAACAAAATTAAAGGATGATATCTAAACCTGTTGAACAATAGTAGAAATATACACATATTTAACAAAATGAAGGTACTTTTGCAAATTGTAAAATAGCAGTGCCCTTCGGTAGAGGTCTATTCGGTTGAATAGATTATGGTTTATCCATATGATGAAATATTTTAGACTTATAAGGAGGAAGGTACTAATAGGGAAATAGCTCCAACATAAATTAAAAAGCGAGATGCAGAACAGGTTGTACACTCTGCTGCCATTTATGTAAAATAAGTAGAAGAAGAATATATAATGGTGTTCCCATATATTTTATCCAAAAGCTGAGGGAGCATACACTAGAAACTTTAAGAAAAGATTGTCATTTTAGGGGTGTGCTTACAGTGAGTTGGGTGAGGGACCTGGTAGGGTGAGGTTTTTTATTGTGTCCTTTTCTTCCTCCCTCCTTCCCTTCTTGCTTTCATTTTATAAACATGTGAGTGCATTCTGTACTCAAAGATTAAAGTGGCAAAAAACATCAACTATACCTCCCTCCCCTCCAGGTTCTGGTCCTGTATTAAGTCTTAGGCAGTGCTTTGAGGTAATTTTAGTTGCCATCTCTGCAAAGCCTCATGGGATTTTCCACTTTTTCCAGAATGTAATCTTTTTAGGTGTAGGCTCCTCAGGCCATCTGGGTGAAGAAAACACTTCTCTAGATGATTTGCAGTTTCATCTGGACAGGTTCTCTTAGATTTCTTAGAGAAATCTAGAAACCTTTCTTAGATTGTGAAATAACCAGTAGTTGTTAAGGCTGGTTCTATCTTTGAGTGAAAGCCTGTCTGTTATCCTGTTGTGCGGGTTACTTTTTGAATTAGTCTTGTTGGAAGGATTGGGCTCCTATGATGACTTAGCATTTTCCTTTAGGTTGATGTCTAGTATTCATTCTCAAAACAGAGCCTTTAATAATGAGTTCCAACTTCAGGGTTCTGTGAAACAAGAAAAAGACATGAATTATGCTTGTTTGTTTTTTTTTTTCAGTGAAGGAAAATGAGACAGTAGGAAGTTGTGACTTGTCAGAGTCACCCAGAAAATAGGAGTAAGGCAGAGAGAGGGCACAGCCATGATCTTGTGGGAAGAGCTCCGTCTTCCAGACCGTGCCAGCTGTCTTAACCCCTGACAGGGTGGGTCCTGCCATGTTGGTACAGGGACTTGGCACCATGGACGAAGTCGTTGGGGTTTTCCCCTCAAATGAGGCTCATTCATTTTATGGATCTTATGCAGTTATCCTCCCAAAGAGATTTTCAAGTTTACTTGAGGATGCATTAGCTTGAACATATAATTCGAAAGCAGTGATCCTACTATTAGTTAATATGCACGTGTGTGATATAATTGCTAGTGATAAAATTCTTCTGTAAGATAAATCGAAGGGTTGCTCACGAAATCATGCTCATGACTTTGAGTTCTTTGAGGTTACTCTTCCGTGTGAGTAGACAGTGTATCCTCTGCAACATTTTGCGAAACTGTGAAGTCCCTTATAGATTCAGAGATGGTGGTGCTAGAATTATATACATTAGATCTCATCTGCTCCCCAAATATTCATGTCATTCCACACTGTCCCTTCCAGATCTGTTCTTTTCTTTCTTTTTTTCCAAAAGATTTTGTTTGTTTATTTTTAGAGAGGGAAAAGGAGAAAGAGAAGGAAACATCCATGTATGTCTGCCTCTTGAGCGCCCCCTACTGGGGACCTGGCCCACAACCCAGGCATGTGGCCCTTTTGACTGCATCCTGGCACTCAGTCCACTGAGCCACAGCAGCCAGGGCCAGATCTACTCTTTTCTTACGAGTGAGACTAAAAGGGTCACATTAAATATTTACATTCCTGTACATTAGCTTTTTCTGTTTCTTTTTATACATACTTTCATCTACGTAAGTACAATTTTAAAAGCATACACAGAATTTTTGTAATAAGCAGTTAAACAATACTGTAGGGATATAATAAAAATACTTATGAGTAATACTGTGGACACAGGCTTTGTAAACAGATCTGTGTTCTGAAATGTAGTTGTCATCCTATATGGGCTCCGTGATATTGGGCAGGTTTATTAACTTCTTGTAGAGTCAGCATTCTCATGTATTATGTGGAAGATAATATTTTGAGATTGTTGAGGGCTAAATGAGATACTGCTTTCATTTCCTCAGACATACTAATTCTAGTTCAAACATAATTGCTTGATATTAATAGCTTTATGTGTCTGTTCCAGACCTTTTAATGTGAGTTACATTGTTAAAGATCAAAATTTCACTCAGCAATTTTTCTAGATACTTTCAGTTTTAAACTCACTGGAATGAAGAATGAAGGAAGTAAACCATGTAACAGTGTGCATTCTTTTATTTTTGGCTTACGTTGAGTATACAGGAACCTCAGAACTCATCAGACATTTGAAAAATAGTATACATTTATTTAATATTTATTCAGTATATGTTACATATACCTACTTGGCACTGTTATTCAGCTTTGGAATACAGAGATGAAAAAAATAGCTTGTGCCTATATTGGAGGTCATCATTTGTTAAAGGAGACGTGTGAATAATCAATATGATATCCAAAGCACTTTGGTAAGGTGTGAGCACAGGGAACTTCGAGAATCCAGAGGAGGTTCTTCCCGTCTCTCTTAGGAGGGGAGTGCTTATGGGTAGGCGTTCAGGTGTGCTTCCCAAGTAAGGTGACACATGAGTCAAGTCTGGAGCAAGCCAGACCCTGGAACATGTATTCTGTTCTTCCAGGCTAAAATGGAGTTCATTTTCAGATAATTAGGAGCCAAGGGATAATTTTATTTAGAGCAACGGGGTCAGATTTGGAACTCAGTCTGGTTACTTAGAAGCATAGCCGGCAGCAGTGGTATCGGCACCTGTTTTATCACCTGCATTGCCCCTGAATTCAATACCTACTGTACATCTGACTGTGTACACATTATCTCACTTAATCCAGCACCTTTTGAGTTAGATAGTATCACCACTATTTTCTAGATAAGAAAACATAGGGTAATAGAAGAGTTAGTAACTGGACACACAAGAGAGAGTGTTTGATTACCTGACATTTTGAAAGATTATGATTCGCTCATCTTTGGTTTTTATGTAATTTAAAGATAACATATGTTCCCTACAAGATGGCTTTTAATGTAAGTCTGTTATTTAATCTGTAGCTCGAGGAAGCTTTGGTTTATGCTAACACTGGGGGAAATGGCTGTTAGACTTACTGACAGAACGAATCAGTCTTCACCGTGGAACCACGGCGTTTCTAGAGCTTCTCACCTTACAGAGTTTTTATTCCTCTTCTTCAGAGCTCTTACAGGATGTAAACTGCTTTATTTTTCTGTTGCATTTCCTTTTCTTCTAAGTAAAACTACCTTCCTTAAGGAAATGTTTGAAATGATACCTCATCAGGATTTGAGATGTTTTAGTTATGTCATTGCTAAATTCTCAAATGTAATGTGGGACTTGGCTCTTCAGTATGAAGTGTTCCATGCTCTAGAATGGCACAATAGATTTCACAGTAGATTCACAATAGATTGTGTCTTTCTGTTCCATAATGTGTACATAGTGTATTGCAACAATAGAGTGAGAAATGATCATTCTTTGCAAGTTAAAAAAAAAAAAAAGCTGGTCAAAATTGGCAATTTATCTCTTCATTTTTAGTTCTTTAATAGCAATACAAATGAAGTGCTTCTTCTCTCTTAGAAATGTGGTATCATTGTTAATTTAAAGACCTATTTGTATATAACTAGAAAGGGGTGTTACAAGCTAGTATCTGCACAGTTTGACCTGCTGCACTCACCTTTTACTCCTTTTGTTTCAGCTCCATCAGAAGTTGAAGTTTCTGTGTCTGCTCGGAACATCAGAAGGTTGCTCAGTTTCCAGCGGTATCTTAGATCATCACGCTTTTTCCGTGGTACTGCTGTTTCAAATTCTCTAAACATTTTAGATGATGATTATAATGGACAAGCCAAGGTGTGTATAGCTTTTTCAAGAAATGTTAACTTTTGATAAGTTTAACGAAGGCTTCTTTTCCCATCTGATACTGATTTATAGTCTTTTTATACACGAAAGTCAGTTGAGCTCATTTTTCAGGTTTTTCTTTAGACTGGTTATTTATTTTATAACTAGGTATTATAGATGAAGGGAAATTTACGAAGTAACTAAATAAATGAAAATGTTATATATTATAACATTAAGTAACACGTAGAACAATAGAACATTAAACTATGAAGACCACAAGACTTAATGCTGGGAAGAGTATTATGGATCATCTGATCTAACTTCTGTTTTTAAAAGAAAAGGAAACTGGCTTAAGGAGCAAAAGGTACTAGTTTGAGCTCTAATTAGAGGTAAACCAGTGCACCAGGTTAGGTCTTAGGACTTGCAGTCAAATGATTTTCATAGCCTCTTGCATCCGTGTGGCATTTTGAGGATTTAGTCATTTCTTAATTAAGCCCAGTGATTGTGAGCATTATTTTCTCTGTGTAGATTAAGAGAAATGCCTTAATAAAGGTGGAAGTTAGATGATTTTGTTTTGACCAAATGAGGATTTTTAATAATCTTATATTTCCACGTTTTAAAAAATATTCTTTGACTTAATATTTATAGACCACATTTTGTAAGTTTGTGTACATAGGGCTAGAGTACTTTTATGATGACATTTAAGTGAACAAACTTGCTTCCCTGTTTGGTGAAAGAAATCAATGGAAACTGTTCGTGATTTAAATTTTAAAGATTTTACAAGGTCTTGCCTTTAGAATGAGAATATTGATTTGTGGTGCTCGCTTGGCGGCACATGTACCAACATTGGAACAACACGGAGATTAGCATGGCCCCTGCGCAGGGGCGACGTGCAAATTCGTGAAGCGTTCCATGTTAAAAAGAAAAGAGAGAGAATGTTGATTTGCATGTGATCGATTGTTGGTACTGTCATAGTTAATCTCTACTAGTAGTGTCTTAGTATTGCTTATGTCCATCTTTATATAAATTTATACAACAATGAACTTCAGGAAAGAGATTTTTTTCTTAAAAAAATAAAGTCCACAGAATTTTTAAGTTACAAATATATAGTGTAGAAATACAATCAATCTATTTGGTTTTTTTGGGTCATTGTGGGATTTATTTACTTGGCTGAAATATACATCAATCTAAAAATTAATGTAGTAAGTAAATGCTGTTATTTTAAGGGTATTTTTAAAATACAAATACCCATAAGTTGAGAGTGTTTTTTGTTGAGAGTTAACAAAAAAAATTGAATAACATAACTTAAGCACAGCACAGTACAGGCATCAGGTGCCTGGGGCCCAGAGTCAGAGCAGCTGGTTTAAGACCCTGGCTCTGTTATGCTCTGCCAAGTTAGTTACTTTGTCTTTGTTTGCCCGTCTGTAACCGAGGATCGAAAGCAGTGCCTACTTGACAGTGTTGATGTCAATAGTAAGAGTGAATAAGCACTTTTAACAGTACCTGGAATATAGTAAGTACTTAGTATTATAAGTGTTTCTACTAGATTTTTAAAATCTAGTTTCTAGACCATGCAACATATGAACACACGTCTGTGATTTTAAATTATGTTAGAATTATTGAAAGTTTGTCGGAATATAAGAATAAGTTTGAAAAAAACTAATTTTACCTGTACATTTATTAATTAGAAAACAAAATAATATTTGGCTTTTCAAATGGAGTTTATCCCTTTAGACATTTTTTTTGAGCCAGTTGGAAAGGTCATAAAAGGACAATGGTATATAGCATTTCTTACAGTAGATCACTTTTCATTTTCATTAACTTCTCTATGAACCATCTACAAAATCTAGTGTTATTGAAATTAAATTACAGTAGGAATGTTTGGTTTTCATTTCAGTGTATGCTGGGAAAAGTTGGAAATTGGAATTTTGATATCTTTCTATTTGATAGACTAACAAATGGTAAGTGAAGAATTTGACTTACTCCAATTAATGTATTCTGTAGATGCTGCATTGGTGGTACAACCACTGGTGGGTTGCTGCTTCATTCACTTAGGGTAGGCGCCCTCTGCTGGCAGGGGAGCATTGTCTTGTCCTTTCTTTACGACTGATCCATCCAGAGGCCTGGAGAGTCAGTCTCAAATTTAGTTTTGCATTAGTACTCTTAGCAGTAATCAAAAAATCAGTTGCTGACACTTGGCTATCCCTCATTAAGGCTACTATTATTGATCACCCCAAGTGAACATTACTATCTCATGTTCTTGATTTTTCTTTTTTGGTTTCTTTTGGATTATGGCCCTTTCTAGTGACATCTTCTCATACTCTGTTCCAGTTTTGATAGGTACAGATATGTGGTAGATTACCGACCTTCTGAGAGGTATCACTTCTTCAAGGTTTGGGTTCTCAGGCTTTCCTTTCTCTGCACACGTGAGAGACATGGTGTGTTGTAATCAGCCGCAGTGGTTCCCCGCACTGCTCCTCGTGGCGGGTGGGGGGGCAGCAGGAGCTTCTTTAGGGGCCTTACCAGAAACGACAGTGTTTGGGTGGTTTGAAACAAGCAGGTGACTCTTTCACCCTTTCCTGAGTATTTTGTTTTGGGGGAGGGTTCATGTTTCCTTACTCTGTTTGAACAGAGTCCTTTTGGGAATCAGTTTCATTTAGGGTAAATTCTTTAGCATAAACAATTGGTGCTACATGTAGTTCAACTAGACTTTGTCCCTTGTGTCTAACTATCTTTTAATAAATGAAGCAGAGGGGAGAGTACACTCAGGAAGAAGCGGGTCCTGCCTGTTCAGAGTGAAGTGACTACGTGGTTGGGTCCCTGCTAGATTCTGAAGTCACCCTCCTTTTTTTTACTCCACTTTGGAATGAAGGTCCTTGCATTAAAAAGCCAAGTATGGAAAATGGACAAGCAAATACCACTTTATTCCTGTTGCGGATCAGTGCAGGTCTAGCTTTTTGCTGTCACTACATTGTTCCCTCTGAGCCGTGCTGTGTGCACAGCACACACACCTTTGTGATTGTCTTCCATTTACCCAGCGACTGTTGATAGGAAATAGCAAAACTGCAAAGACAGTGAAATTTGCCTTATCAGCAAGACCTCCCTCCCACTCCCCTGACTTTTTGTTTTTCCCTTTTGCTGTTTCTCTCCCACCTCTCCTTGTCCTGCACATTCTGTCCACACAGAAAAGGCTTGTATCCCTTCCCAGTAGTCTTTCCCTTCAGCCTCCCCTTTGTGAAAATGCAGGTAATGAAGTACCAAGTGGCTCAGCTGCTTCTAGATGCGGAAAACACCCCTTTCCTGAGTCCGCACTGGTTATCTCAAGATAATATGGAGAAAAATAATGCCATGCTTTAACACCTTCGAGGTTTAGCCTTACAAAACTGTAAGTTCTAACAGTTCACAGATTATTTTTAGTCTGTGGAGACATTTTTCACTCGTTGAAATAGTTGACTGTTCTCTAAATTTTATTTTTTGAAAGTGCTGGTCACGGGGCTTGGTGATGAACGTGGAATGAGGTTAAGAGAGCGTGGGGTAGCAGGAGAACAAGCCCACAAGTCCACATTAGCTAGTTTAGCATTTTGCTCCCCATTTAATCTCCTCACTCCCATTGCGGAGAAGATGGCTTAATGTTTTTTTTCCTTAGGATTAATTATTAGGAGTTAGTAGAAACCATGCCTGGTTAGCTACCCACTTACGATTTTACAGATGGTGATATGAGGTCTGCCCAGAAGGTATCCAGTCATGTAATGTGAAAGAGACCTTTACTGAACAAGATAAAAGATACAAGAAACACTGTACATAGGACATGATGCTTCAGTCCCCTTCAAAGTACGCACCTTGGGACCTCAGATAATCGTCCCAGTAGCCATCAGCTGCCCCATCATATTTTGCTGAATCTCATTAAAGCTCTGAAATCTCTTCTCTTTCAAAGGTGATTTTAGTTTTGGGAAAAGCCAGAAATTGTGGGATGCCAAATCTGGGCTGTAGGGGAGCTGAGTCATCTGTGTGATTCAATTTTTTGCCGAGAAGCTGCACCAGACGTGAGGCATGAGCAGGTGCATTGTTGTGATGAAGCTGCCAATCACCAGTTGTCCATAGCTGCGGACTTCTGAATCATCCAAATAGTTTCTAGGAGGAATGTTCAAGCTTAAAGCAAAATTTGATGCAGATTTGTTGCTGCGCTCGCTCAGTCATTTTGAATGTGAAGGCCACATAGTACACATGCTCACCCAATGTCATCTACTGTCCCCACTGAGTAGTACAGTGAAGTTGTCACTGTTCACACATGTGCATTCCAGTTGACTCTCCTTGGTTGCCAACTTACATTGATGTCATGCAAACCATTCTTATTATATTAACAATGGCTGAACTTTTTCCAGACAGACTTTGTTATATACTCAGCTAACTACAGCTACCCAAACATTACAGGAATTCTATACATTAGGAGAGATTATTGGGAAACAAATCAGAAGAAAACTTCTTTAACTTGCATTACTTGACTAGCACTGCTTTCCTTTCCAAATTGCTTAGCCCGACATGAATTCTGGGTGATACATGCACACAGTAATCAAGTGTATAGTTTTCCCTTCCTGCATTGATCCCGTGCTTTCTGTATTTCTTACTCTGGTGATGCCCCAGGTAATTTTGCAAGGAAGGCAGGGAGAAGGCAAAACTCAGCGATTGCCTCCAAGACACATGGTCCCTGACTTATCCGCTGCAAGGAGAAAAGTGGTTGTTGTCTGGTAGGACACATTCGATATTCCCTTTACAGGTCTGAGAGTTAGGTGATCTGAGGCAGCCCACATGCCTTGTCATCCCCGAAAGCACCTGGCCCGTGAGGACTTCCATCACCAGGCCTGTGTCCTGGAGGCAGCCTAACCCTGTCTGCTCCATCTGAATCACAAGTGAAAAACTGTCGGGGCCACTGTACCTTTGGCAGCTCTGTCCTTTGATGTATTTTTATAAGGGTAGTTTTTATAAATAAGTACAGTTTTTTCCCACGAAAGTGTTTCTATTTTCACATAAAATAAGGTGTTCTGTGCCTGTTTCTTGTTTGACACACCAGCTAAGCACCACTTGTTTTGAGTAATTCATTTTTATTAAAATAGTTGCTATCTTATGAACTGAAACTGAGGAAAAAAATGTTCCATGAAGTTTTTCAGTTCAGTGTGAGGAGCAGATTTAACAGATTGGTTCGTCCGCGTCCCGTGCAGGTCTCAGCAGGAGGCATTACGCACGTGTCTGACCACAGCGTGCGGAACTCCGGGAGAGGGTGTTCGACCGGCAGAGTGCGGCTTCCCCGAAACTTCTAGACTGTAGAAACTGGCAATTTGTCTCATTAGCTCAGGAGAGTGGTTTTGGGAGAACAGTATCATGACCTAAATATACAGAATAAATATACATTTTAAAAAATTGAGGTATAACTGACATATAACTTATTAGCTTCAGGTATACAGTATAATGATATATTTGTATATATTATGAAGTAATCACCACAGTAAGTCTAGTTAACATCTGCTGCCATACATTGTTATAATCTTTTTTTTCTGTGACAAGAACTTTTAAGATCTATTCTCTTAGCAACTTTAAGATATTCAGTACAGTATTAACTGTGGTCACCATGCTGTATATTACATCCCAGGACTTATTTATATGTTTATTTGACAACCAGAAATTTGTACCTTTGGACCCCCTGCACCCCTTTCCGTCCACCCCCAGCTCTGCCTCCGACAAGCGCGGTCTGTTCTTTGTATCTGTGAGCTCAGCTCTTGTTTTTAGATTCCTCATATAACTGAGGTTGTATCTTTTGTCTTTCTCTGACTTACTTAACATGCTCTCAAAGTTCATGTTGTGACAAATGGCAGCATTTTCTTCTTTTTGTTTTATTTCTTAATTGGGTTTATTGAGGTGACATTATTTAATCAAGTGATGTAGGTTTCAGGTGTACAGTTCTATAATACATGTGTATATTATGTATTCACCACGCCAAGTTAAGTCTCCTTCCATCACCATTTATCCCCTCTTTACCCTTCCTACCTTTCCCTCCGGTAATCCCCATACTGTTGTTCATGTCTGTTGCTTTTTTTTGTTGTTTGTTTTTTGCTTAATCCCTTCATGTTTTCGCCCAGCCTCCCGGCCTCCCTCCCCTCTGACAGCTGTCAGTCTGTTCTCTGTGTCTGTGAGGCTGTTTCTGTTGTTTGTTCCTTTATTTTGTTCATAAGAGTTCACATATGAGTAAAATCATACGGTACTTGTCTTTCTCTCACTGGCTTATTTCACTTAGCATAATACTCTCCAGATCCACCCATGCTGTCATAAAAGGTAAGATTTCCTTCTTTTTAAACCAAGTAATATTCCATTGTGTAAATGTACCACAGCTTTTGTATTCTCTCATCTATTGATGGGCACTTGGGCTGCTCCCAAATCTTGGTTATTGCAAATAACGCTGCTATATTCTTTTAACCAGTGTTTTGGGTTTCTTTGGATATATTCCCAGAAGTGGAATCACCGGGTCACAGGCAGTTTCATTTTTAATTTTTCGAGGTAACTCCATACTGCTTTCCACAGTGGCTGCACCAGTCTGCATTCCCACCAACAGTGCACTAGGGTTCCCTTTTCTCCACATCCTCACCAACACTTGTTGTTTATTGACATATAGATCAGTGAAACAGAATAGTAAGCCTAGAGGTAAACCCATGCCTTTATATTCCATTCATATTTGACAAAAGAGGCAAGAACATGCAATGGGGTAAATATGGTCTCTTCAATAAATGATGTTGGGGAAAATTGGGCAGATATGTGCAAAAAATGAAAAAAGACTACCTTTTACACCATGCACGAGAATAAACTCAGAGTGGATTAAAGACTTAAGTGTTTAAGTCTTTAAAGTCTTTAAAGCCATGGCTAAAAAGCCATAAAAACCTTAGAAGAAAACCTAGTAAATTTTGGACATTTTTTTGTAGCCATAATTTTACTGACATAGCTCCTTGGGCAAGGGAAACAGAAAATAAACAAATAGGACTACATCAAATTAAAAAATATTTGCATGGCAGAGGAAACCATTAACAAAATAAAAAGACAACTCACTAAATGGGAGAACATATTCACCAATGATACATCTGATAAGGGGTTAATATCCAAGATTTATAATGAACTTACAAACTTAGCACCAAAAAAATGAACAATTAAGTTTAAAAAAATGTGCAGAGGACTTGAATAGACACTTCTCCAAAGAGGACATACAGGTGGTCAGCAGACACATGGAAAGGTGTTCAGTGTCACTGCGCATTTGTGAAGTAAAACCATGTGAGAGAATCACCTTGCACCTGTCAGAATGACTGTCATCAATAAATCAACTGTTCCTTTTTATGGCTGACTAGTTTTCCGTTTTTCATGTTATTTCAGTGATACTCCACACACGCATGTATCACATCTTTATCCATTCGTTTCACTGTAGATGGATCCTCAGGTTGCTTCCATATCTTGGCTGTTGTAAATAATGCCACAGTGAACACTGCAGTACCTGTGTCTTTTCAAATTTAGTGCTTTGAATTTCTTCAGGTAAATAACCAGATGTAGGATGGTTGAATCTAATGGTAATTTTATTCTTAGTTTTTTAAGGCACTTTCCTACTGTTCTTCATAGTGGCTGCACCAATTTACATTTCCAAAGTAGTGTCCAAGGGTTCACTTTTCTCCATGTTCTCATCAGCACTTCTTTCTTGTCCTTTGGATCATTGCCATTCTAACTGGTGTGAGGTGATGTCTCGTTATGATTTGCATCCCTGATGATTAGTGATGTTGAACATCTTTTCATGTATCTACTGGGTATTTGTATGTCAGATGGAAAAATGTCTGTTCAGATCGTCTGCCCACTTTTTAATTGGATAGTTTGTTTGAATATACATTCTGAAATATTTATGAATATACCCAGAGAAAAGTTGGTTGTTACAACAGTAATAAAAGAAATACAGCTCACTCTTTCACAAATGTTTCCAAATCACACTGGCTCATGTCGGCATGATAGAGTGTTACTAGGGTTTGAATGCATTTTAACATTTAATTTCACAAAAATAAAGATTTGAAATTTTTCCCCTCTTGAAGGTGATATGTCTGGTAGTTTTTAAAAAGAATCTCTTTTTTGGCAACCACATTCTTTACAGTGTTCTCCATACAAATATTCTTCTAATTTACTTTTTTCCTCCGCCATGGGCTTCAGTTGACAGTTGTTTAGGCAGTTTTAGGTAATGAGTTTATCCCATAGTCCTTTATAATTCTTCATAAATATTACTAAAAGTTTTCACTGTGGGACTGGTTAGGTCTTTTACCCACTTTTTTTGTAAGACTCGCGGATTGTTTTGAGAGACTGTTAGAACCACATTCATGTCGTCGTCATCCAGACGTTGGCAGTATCGTGTGCTCGTCCCCCTTTAAAACACAGAGTCTTTTAATTGTTAAAATACTGTAGCCTGTGGGAAATCTCCAAAATGCTGGGAAATAGAGTGGAAGGTATCAAAAATGGAGAGAGAAAGCTGTGTCTTAGAAGGAAAAACTAAACATTATAAAAATGGTCGTTTTTCCAAATTCAATTTCTGTGCGTGGTGTGACCCCAGTTCTCAGTGACGAAGGAGTGGGAGCTGAGGAGGAAGGTAATCCCCATTGCACGTGGCAGTGCTTCCAGAAAACTGCTGTGTAGGAGCATAGAGGGGGCAACTGGCGGGGGCCGGAGAGTCGGAGATTCCTTACTGTTCCAAAGATAAGAGAATCTGGAGCAGGTCTGAGGGCTGGTCTTATTGGGACAACATGGGGAGGGGGAGGGATATTTTGATGCATTGGGACTGCGGGTGGTGGTGGGGCATTGGTAGCTGTGTGTGATGGACCAAGGAAGGCTCCTGGGGAGCCGTGGAGAGGTAGAGGAGTTGGCTTTTGAGAGAAGGGGGAATTTGAGGGCTTGTACATTTTCCTGTGAAGTCTGAGGCTGTTGAGGATGAGGACTGAATAGAATGTGGGTATGTCGATAGTTTGGATAGAGAAAGCTTGAAAATGGGCATTTTAAAAAGTGAAAGAACCATTTCACTAGAAAAACATAATAAGATTACTAGATGGTATTGTCTATAAACTTACAGTGATAGAATTCTGCCTAGTGTTGTGGTTTTCCTCACCCCTTCCCTTCCAGCAACTCTCAGATTTTCTGCTGCAAGTATGGGACAGGCAGGATTCAGTTCCGAGTTTTGATCTTGAGGGAGGAGCTCATTGATCCCTCCCACTGGCCTGTAGAATAAACAGCCTCCACCTAACAAGGTTGCAGCCACAGCGCCCTGCTCCAGGATGTCCCTGTTCTGCTACAGCAGGGTGAGAGAGGGGATGTTTAGAATGTGGTTAAATGCGGCCATGTGTAAGGTGCTTTGGGAAGTTGACTTAAACTTAGTGCGGGGCAATTTTCGAAGTTTTCTGTTGATTCTGATTGTTTTGGTGTCCTTTTTTAAAAAGTAAGTCTATTCAAAAATGTTTATCTTCCAGTTATTTGGTTGTAGAAATAAAACAACAAAAAAGTTTTTTTTTCTTAAAATGGAAAAAAAATGTGGTATTTGAAGTTCATAACTGGTCTAATAAGATGTAAATTTTAGACAAAAAGTAGGGATTAGTATATTGAGCATCCATGTTTGGAAAAAACAGTACAGTCATGTTAGCTACTAATCCCTGTCTCTCTCTCTCTCTCTTTTTTTTTAGGAAATAGTCTAGTAAGTTTAACCTTTCATTTATTTAATCTTCATGGATTAATTGAGTACTTCCATTTAGATATGATGAAACTTCGTAGATTTTTAGGTAAGTGATTCTAACACATTTAGCAGTAGTAAGATTTATATAAGAACTTTAAAATTTTTGGTATCAGTTAGCTACTGCTCTCAGACAAAACACTCCAGACTTGATGGCTCCATTCATTCAGCTCCTGAGTCTGTGGGACTGTCACATGCTGCTTCTAGCCGAACTCATTGATGTAGCTGCAGTTGACAACCAGTTTGTTGCAAGGTGGCTTTGCAGGCCTTGCCTCTCTGGGACCCTGTCCGGGACCACGCTGGGAGCACTGGGCTCAACTGCGCATGGTCTGTTAAATCAGAAAAAGGCAGAGGAGTTTGGCACCATTACATTCACATGAAGAGGAAAGAAATAGTTATTTACTTTAAAATATGAGAGGGACACGAAAAAAACCCCCAGAATTTGTTTATAAAAAAATTGTATATTCTCACATGTTTTTAAACTTCAGTAGCCTTCAGAATATGTTCCATTTGATGCAATACACCTATCGGGGCTTTTTTCCCACTGCTCAGAACAGTTTTTGAACTAATTGAGTTTGATGCCTTTTAGTGCTTCTGCCATTTTTTTTTTGTTTGTTTGTTTTGTTTCACCTCTTCCATTTTGGCAAAATGATTCCCTTTGACGACTTTTTTCATCCGGGGAAACAAACAAGTAGTCACTTGGAGTGAGATTGGTTGAACAGGGAGGGTGGGCACTGGGGTCCTGTGGTTTTTTGTCAAAAATTGCTGAAAACTTAGCGTAGTGTGGGCAGGTGTGCTTGTAAAGCACCCATCATGAGATGGGCAAACGCGTTGAGTCTTCAAAGAAAATTCACTGAAGCCAAACGCAGCCTTTCACAGCAAAGCCAGCTGGTGTACTGATACAGATGGGTTCCTAGAACACTCACCTAGTGTGAGAAGCCTGTAGTACAAGGCACCCTCCTTCCAGAAGATAATTCTGTTTTTTTTATGGGTCCCCCCTCCTAAGCTGAGTTTGTTCAAAGAGCAGGGGCCAGTTTCCTAGAGAGAGCTGGTGAGCCCAGACCCCTGGTTCGTCACTGGCCCCCTTCACTTCTGACCTGCCCTGTACAGGGCAAGTCCAGTGGAGATGAACTGCAGCTGAAGGTGGGAAGCTGCCGTGAAGGCTCAGAGCCCTCGGTGGAGGGCGTGGGGAAGAACTGGGACGACTTTGCTGTTGGGCTCTTACATCGGCCACAGCTCTCTGACAAAGAGGACTCAATATCTGTCCTTCTCTAAATTTTCAAAGGCTAGCACTTTAAACAGTTGGGTAGGTTGCAATAGGTCTCCTATTTGAAAGATTATGTTGAACATGTGTAAATGTGGAAAGTGATATTTATTTAAGACTGCTTTGCTAGGAGAAAAGTTGAAGTTTTTCACTGAATAAAGAAATACATTAGACAGAAATTGGTAGCATGAGGATTCTTTGTTATTTTTTTAAAGAAAAGTAGTGTTTTCTTTCCTCTTAAGTACCAAACTAAGATAAATTTATTACCTAGCAGTTTTGAAAAACTTTTGTTTAAATTTTATTTATTTATTTTTTATAGAGGGGAAGGGAGGGAGAAAGAGAGGGAGAGAAACATCAGTGTGTGGTTGCCTCTCTCATGCCCCCGACTGGGGGCCTGGCCCGCATGTGCCGTGACTGGGAATCGAACTGGCGACCCTTTAGTTTGCAAGCCAGCTCTCAATCCACTGAGCCACACCAGCTAGGGTGGTTTTGAGAAACCTTTAATGCACATTTATTTATAAATTGTGTGGCTGTGATACTGTACTAATCTATTACCTTATATAAATTATAAAACATACAAAAATAGGTATTACAAGGTTATAGAAAAGGCCATTTTAAATGATAAGATCAAAGTAAATAGAGAATTCAGATCTCTTTTCCTGTCACCAGTGGGTGGTAGTGCTGCCTTGGCCCATGTGAGTTGGAGGTCACTAGTTTTTTAGCTTGTCCTGCGGTTTGGGGCCACAGCTCCACCTCTAATCCTGGTCCACTTTGTCATGACGGCATAACAGACACTAAGTGAGAAAAGAAAAGATTAACAGAAGATCCATCCCTACAAACTGAAAAATGAATTCCAGATCCAGAACGTACCCCATAGGTAGATCATTTTTGTGTTCCCTAATACTTAAGCTGTTGCTGCATCATAAATATTTTCACTCACTGATGAAATTCTAGTACCACCAAGAACAGTACCTGGCACAGTAAATATTTGTTGCATGAGTTGGACTGTGGGTATTAAACTAAGAGACTCTTTTGTCCTCTCAGTTTAATAGATTCACATTTTAAAAGAGAAAGAAAATTATTTTATAATTTTGTCATGAATACCTTCTCATTTAAAAGTTTCAGACAGGTTGTGAATGAAAGTGGTATTGATTCGTTAGATATGCACGTGAGTTGTGAGGTGGTCACCACCTCTGAGTCTGAACAGTTAGCTGACAGCCGCCTGGAAAGTGTAAGTGGAGCACTTGGGATTACCAGCTTTTGTACTTGCACGTGCCTCCCACTCCCGATATAATTGGGGGTCTTTCCCTGTGTTGCAGTGATGATTCAGGAAGACTACCACAGTCAGAACCCGTACCACAACGCCGTGCACGCTGCGGACGTCACTCAGGCCATGCACTGTTACCTAAGAGAACCTAAGGTGAGGTGTGGACTTTTGCAGCAGGCGAAAATCCTAAGAAAGTTTCTTTGCTTTGCTTTCAAATATTTTTCCCTAAGTTAGTGATTTGGCTAAAAATCAGAAGTTTCCTTCACAAGGAAGAGATCTTCACATTCAAGTCTAGCTGGATTATGTTTCCAATATGCCTGTACCAGGTCTGTCCAGAAGGTATCCAACCATGTAATACGACAAAATAAAAACATTCATTAAAGAAGATATAAGAAACATTGTGCATAGGACAGTGAGGCCTCAGTCCCCTTCAAAGTACACACCTTGGGACCTCACACAGTTCTGCAAATCACCATCAGCTGCCCCGTTGTGTTTTCCTGAGTCTCAGTGAGGGTCTGTAATCTCTTCCCTTTGAAAGGTGATTTTAGTTTTGGGAAAAGCCAGAAGTCACAGGGTGCCAAATCTAGGCTATAGGGGGAGCTGAGTCACCTGGGTGATTTGATGTTTTGCAAAAAAATTTTGCATGAGATGTGAGGTGTGAGCAGGCACATTGTCATGATGAACCTGCCAATCATCAGTTGTCTATAGCTGCAGCCTTCTGAATTATCCAAATAGTTTCCACGAGGGATGAACACAGAATTTGATGCAGATTTGCTGCTGTATTTGCTCAGTCATTTTGAATGCTATGGCCACACAGTACACATACTTACTTAGTGGTGTCTGCTGCCCCCACAGACGCATTCCAGTCCACTCTCCTTGGCTGCCAGTTTACTTCGATATTGCGCAAACCAATTTCATTACATTGACAATGGCTGGACTTTTTCTGGACAGACTTTGTAAGTGCGCACCTGGAGAATGGGTGACCGCCGAGAGACCAGGCGGATAAGGCCAAGCGAGGGCCAGGTCACAGAACTTCAAGCACTGTCAGGATACTTGGCCCTTACACTAAGCTCTTGAGGACAGGGACAGACCAGTCAGCTCAGTGCATGAAGAAGGAGCCACAGAAGGGAAAACCATTCTGGCTGTTGTATAAAAGTCAATCAGGCAAGAGCAGGAACATGAACACCAGTCCATGGTGGCTGTTTCAGCTTCCTTGAGAGAGCGTGGTGCCCTGAGCAAGGCAAACGCTTCGGGGAAGGAGGAAGGTAGGTGGTTTGTAAGATCTCTTGGGCATCAGAATGACTAGGACATGGTGTCCTGGTGCATTTGGGGAATGAAGCAGGAGTCGAAGACTCTGTTGGGCAGTTGAGTAGAAGGCGGAAGTCTTGTTGAGAGAGTGCAAGAAAAGGAGCCAGTTTGCGAGCAGGGCTGGCAAAGATGGTGACTTCCGTTTTGAATGTGTGGAGTTAAATGTGTTTGTGCGATAGCCGTGTAGATGTCTGTCTAGCAGAGAGTTGGGTAAAAGAGTCTGAAGTATAGGAAGAAATCAACTTTCCCTTCACAGAACTTTAAAAAATTCATTTGTTTCTTTTCATGTTTCTATGTTAATAATTCACTTCAATCTGTCTGAGATTATTTGATGTCACCTGTGATCATCTCTTTTTAAAGTCTAGTTCTGGACTGTTTGATTCTCCCAGGATGGTACATGTCTGTTCTCCTACCACATCCTCTCTGTTTTAGCTTTGATCAGAATATGACACTCTCGTGTATTGCTTAATACATTACTCGTTCAAACATATCCACAGCCCTGCCCACACGTTTGCGTGTTGGGGAGAGAGGTGGCTTCATGTGCAGCGAGCTCGTACTGCATGTCTCTGTTCTCCAGAGCAGTAAGCAGTGCTTCAAAAATCTGTATTTTTAAAATACTTCCCAAATCCTAAAGAGGAAATTACTTTCTTCACCAACTTTTCCCTCATTCATTGAGCTTCTCCATATATCAATTACAGGCAATACAAATATAAATAATAAATATTCGGTGCCTTCAGGCAGCTCACAGTTTTCTGGGGCATTCAAGCCCTTACACAGTGATTTTTGTTGTTGTTGTTTTGTTTTTTTTGTTTTTCAGACTAAGAAACACTTGACACATGGGATGGGAAAAGATTCATTCTGGCCTAGAAAGAAAACATTAAAATTTGAATCTAAATTTATTTATCTCACTTAAAAATTTTTCAATTTTCATGTTTGTTTATGTGCTGTATACGCTAGTTCAATGTCACAGTCTGTAAGTGTACTGATACTGGTGATACATGCTCACGTTTCTTTTTACTGCTAGGGCACAGGACCGTACAAGTTTAGAGGGCATTGACCCAGCGTGAGCTAAGTAAAAGCATGTTCTCCCGACTTTTATTATGGCCAGACCTGTGAAGAGCAGTAAGAACATAGTCATTGCTGGGGAAGGGGCTGCAGGTCAAGACTGGGGGTAAGCGGGTAGTCAGTGGAGTTGGGCCTCGGAAGATGAGAAGAAGCTGGCCAGGAAATGAGAAGTGATTCATGAAAAGCAGGCGATAGATATATCAAGGTGATCATTTCTTATCATTCAAGTGAAAGTAATAATGAGTATTGGGAGTAAAAGATATAATTAACCTCACTTTTTCTGACGTGAACATATCGTGTACACTGTTCTGAATGTACCCATCCACTGGGAGAGGATTTTATTAGACTCGACATTGACTTCTGCTCCGTGCTTACTCAGTAGAATCCTTAAACATTAGGACCTCAGAAATAGCGTTGCATTTTAGATTCTTAATTGAAATCCAATAAACAATTTGTGGTAAACACCCTCATTTGCAGGTCTTCTCCTGTATTGCACGCTTAAAAATTTAAGAGCACTTAACATGAGGTCTACCCTTGTATTACAATAAAATATCTTTTTAAATTCTCATAGGTCTTCTCTGTTTGGTAATGGGTAGGGAAATAAAAATACACAAACCTGTGTTTATTGTTTTAAAAAACGGTGTTTCTCAAAAAGATGGCTTATACTTTAACTGCCCTTGTAACTGGGCTTGTTGTTTAAAATGAAGCGGGGTAAGGCTGAGCTCTGTAAACTCCCTGTGGGCAGGGCCACCGTCACATGGTGCCCATCCCCAGTGCTGGCAGCGGCTTGGTGGCCTTAATGAACAGTCTGAAAACACAACGGGGGAGATACTGTCAGCACTGCCATTTGGGGCTAATTCAAAACTATTGCCATGGCATAGAGTCGATTTCAAATGCGTGTGTGACTAATTAGTCTTTCGTCAACTTCAGCTTGCCAACTCTGTGACTCCTTGGGATGTCTTGCTGAGCTTAATTGCAGCTGCAACTCATGATCTGGATCATCCCGGTGTTAATCAACCTTTCCTTATTAAAACTAACCATTACCTGGCAACTTTATACAAGGTCAGTGCAGTTTTATCATCACAGTTTAATATTTCATTTCTGAAAATGTTTCATGTTTTTAGGAAGTGAAAATGGTTAGCAAATTCTCAATGAATGTTAGAATTCTAACCATATTAATATTACTCCCAAATAATTCTTTATGTTCAAAAAAGAGATTTATTGCCATTAGATAACTCAGATATGCGTCTTTTTTTCTTTTTCTTTTTCTTTTGGTAGAATACCTCAGTACTGGAAAATCACCACTGGAGATCTGCAGTGGGATTATTGAGAGAGTCTGGTTTATTCTCACATATGTCATTAGAAAGCAGGTAGGTTGGATCCAGACAAATTTAATCTGTGAACTGTGAAAATTAAGTTGACAAAACAGTTTTATAAAGTTTTAAAGTTAAGATGTTTGGGTGTTCCACAATTTTCAGTTTTAAATTCAATGGGTAAATTATTTTATTTTATAAATTTATATCAAAATTTTAGTGATTTAAACCTATAGTACAGTTAGTAGTATATTTTTTAGTGAATTATTATGAAAGATCATCCCATGGATTTGAGTACTATAAAATTCACTCCAAATACACAATGGTTCAGTCACAGTTTGCTGCTTATTATATAAATAATATTACATATTTCCATTTTATGTTAATTCAAATAAAACCCTAAGTTCTAGGTATAAATGAGATAGAAAGTAAACATTTTCTATAAGAAATAGAGTCATTAAAAAACCTGTTTTGGGCCTGTGCCATTGTGGTTCGGGTAGTTGGAGCGTCAGCCCATACACCAAAGGCCTGTGGCTTTGATCCTGGCCAGGGCGTTTATGGGAAGCGGCCAGTGGATGTTTCCGTCCCACATCGATCTCTGTCTCTCTCTCAAATCAATAAACACATTTAAAAAACAAACGGAAGCTATTTTAGAAAGTTTCAGAACTGATAAATAAAAATAATGCTTTGTATCTTTGATAGCGTAGTTCTGAAGTCACTTCTAGAGCTCCAGGGAAGAAGAGAAAATACTAATTTTGTGGAGTAGATCATTTATTGTTAAGCAGGCCATTTGAGAGCCTAATAAAAAGCTTTAATGTAAATGAGTCCATTGTCTATAAACAGGCTTTAATAGTGAATGTCTCACAGAGAGAAGATGCACTTAAGAAAACCATGAAAATGGTTACATAACCCAAGTAATTCTAGGAAAAAGGTGAGGAATAAAAATGTTCGGGTGGCCCCGCCAGATGATAGCTCAGGTGGTTAGAAAGTTGTCCAGATCCCCCAAGGTTGTGGGTTCGATCTCTGGTCAGGGCACTTACAAGGATCAATCAACGAATGCATAAGTAAGTGGAACAACAAATCGATGTTTCTCTCTCTGTCTCTGTCAAATCAATAAATAAAAACTAAAAAATAGGTTTGGGTGTTAAAATTTAAGTTACTGTCATGGTTCTCTCCTTTTTCCCATTCATGAGTTAAAAATTTACATGTTTTGTGTAATGACCATAAGAAAAAAGCAGGACTTTTTAATTTTTAAAAAATCTTTATTCATGGATACCATATGAGATTATGACAATACTTCTGGTATGTAAACTTGTTCTTTGCTGAGTAGAAATATAAAAATTGCTTAAGCCATACAGTGTTTGTACATAGACATTATCTTGTTCTTGATTAACATAGATTAAAATGTTGGCTTTGTTATTCCCTTTATATCATGTTTTGCATTTGATGATTAACCCTGTTAAATTCTCAGATTTAATGTAAGTAAAAACTGAAAATAAGGACTACATAACAGCATTCTTTTGTTTTCTTATGTTTTTCCCAAAATATTCCATATTGTGAGCCTTTCTACCTATTGACAGCTCTTTACCTATCATTGTTCAAAGATGTTTTCTGTGGCCCACTGGAACAAAAGGCAGGGATTTTTTTTTATGTTTATTTCTGTTGTTACTTGTATCGAGACAGTTTTTTAAATTATCATGTTTTTATTTATATGAGTACCTTACCTTTTACCTTTCAGAAAATTTGGGTAGTCATTTAGAAAGTTGATTGATTCTTAAATATACATATACAACTATTCCACTACATATACAGCTATATACAACTATTGAACTATATATATTTGAATCTAAACTTTCTTAAACCATTTGGTAGAATTTTATCAGGATTTAATAAGGCATCTTAGTCAAAAGGTCTATAGGAATTAGTCGTTGGCTCTTTTTCCTCCATTTGAAACTTCCTTCCACCTTTCAGATCTCAGGCACCAAAAAGGAAAGCAAAGTCGTTTGCCTCTAACACATCCCAGCAAAGAATTTTCTCAAAAATTATACCAATTTTATGGTTTTTTTTAAAATTTTAGGCAAATAATTACACCTCAGCTAGAAAAATAAAGGCACTCTAACCTTCACCTGAGGACATGATTACTGATTTTAGAGACAAGGGGAAGGAGAAAGGCAGGGAGAGAAACAGCGATTGTGTGCCCCTCTCACGGGCCCTGACTGGGGACCGAACCCATGACCTAGATATGAGTCCTACCCAGGGACCAAACCTGCAACCTTTTGGTTTACGGGGGGACAGTCCAACCAACCGAGCCACACTGGCCAGGGCTATAAAGGTATTTTTTGGAGATGTTTGCATATTGGTATTTTTCTACAAACTTTCTTGGTCTTAGTTTTGATTATTATAGAGGGTTTTTTGACACATTCTTTAAAATTAATTTGTGATTAAAAGTTGAATGGCAGTTAGAATATATTAGGGCTCTATGAAGCTTCTGAATATTAAATTTAAGGGAAAAATCAAGAAATAACTGCTTAATTGAAAGTCTTGTATTTTCTCTTGTATATTTTTCCAACTCCAGGAAACAAATGGAGACTCAGATAGGTGCTTTGATACTAGCCACAGACATCAGTCGCCAAAACGAGTATCTGTCATTGTTTAGGTCCCATTTGGATAGAGGTGACTTATGCCTGGAAGATGCCAGACATAGGCATTTGGTTTTACAGGTAAAATGGGTTCTATTTCTAGGGTAAATTTTATGCAACTAGTAGAGTAAAAATGAAATATTCTAGTGTAGCGATGGGAGTGGTTAAACCTTGAGAAAGCTGGGGTCTCCTTCCTGGAAGAAGAGCCCGCCCCCGAGGAGAGCACCGTTGCTTTTGCATTACTCATACTTGAGATTTCTAACAAAAACCATGTTTGCAAATTAGGGTACCATCAGCTAGCAGCATTTTATTTTAATAAGTACTCACATCGTAAAAAATGACAGAATTGGCTGATTTCTTTGTAGCTTTATGGTTAATCCAGGACTTGTGCTCGGCTATACAGTCAGGTTCCCAGTCTTGCGGCATTTCTGGAGAAATCATGGTAGACCTAGTAGAATCATGAAATTAATATAGAAAATGAATTTTCTATTGCATAATTTTCTTTTTTATAAAGGTATTCTTTTTGCCACTGTTGGAGTAGATTTAAACTTAGTACAGTTGAAATTTTACTTTTTTTCTTAAAATAATTGTAATGTTTTGCTTGCTAGATGGCTTTAAAATGTGCTGATATTTGTAACCCGTGTCGGACCTGGGAACTGAGCAAGCAGTGGAGTGAGAAAGTAACAGAGGAATTCTTCCATCAAGGCAAGTTCCAGGACTGGGTGCTGATGAATCTGCCCAGTCCATATTTTAAGCAGTAACTCACACATTTATAGGAGTCCAGTGTTAGATATTGATATCTCTAGTGGCAGTTTACTATAGATGTACATGCACCCAGTGATGTATACATGGAGCATCTGTTCTGAAAATTAGTTTCTTGAAATCATCAGGTGTGCGTGCACGCATGTATGAGTGGACATGGGTCAGCTCGGACATTTCGCTGACCAGAAACATTTCCCTGACCTCACCCCTTTGTCCTGTGTGGAGGGCACGACCACATGAACACCTAAGACATTTTTGCGACTTAAAGCCAGCAGCCAAGGATCTTCATTTTATGCACCTTCTTTTTTAAGATTTAAATTAAAATGCTGACAGTGTTGAGGTAAAACACCTAGTAAAAGTTTTCCACCTCCTCCATTTAAAATAGGGTATCAGCTTGGCAACTTTTTCTGTATGTGAATAACGTAAAGAACTACCTTAGAAAATTTCCTCTCATGACAAATGTACCTTTTTCCTAAGGAATCCACAGGTGAGATGAAGGCTTTGATTATATACTTAACCAGTAGGCATGTTCCATGTTAATGGTTCCGTCTCTCCTTGTTTTTACGTCCAGGAGATATAGAGAAGAAGTATCAGCTGGGTGTGAGTCCATTTTGTGATCGTCAGACTGAGTCTGTCGCCAACATCCAGATCGGTAACTATATGTAGTTATAGCCTGGCTAACGACGTGCCACTGATTTCAACTTTGTCGAGAAAGAGAGATACACATTTGAAATACAAAGTATTAAAATTATGCTCATTTCTATTTTTTAAGTAATTAAAAATTTTTAACCTTGTTTTTCCCATTTTTGGCTCTTACAACTTATTCTCATTTGACTTTAGGTTGTAAAAAGCATAATTCTTTCAGAGGATGTAACAATAACTTTGTTTTTGTGGTAAAACTGGAATAATACAGTATTTGCCCATGTGGGAGCTTTTATGCATAATTCTAGGACTGCCATTTGAACGTGAAAAATGTGATCACTGAGCATGAATATGTATGAAGACCAGTTTGCACTGCTGCTTACTCGTATCACTGCCTCTCGGCTGAGTGTGGTTCCTGCACACCTTGCACAGGCCTCTTGAAATCTAGCCTCCACTTGTCTCCCCAGCAACTTGCCCTCATTTACCTAGGGCAGCGTGGGACCCCTCGGTGTCCTGCAAGTCCGCGCTGCTCCTTCACTCTCTGTGCCTCGCCAGTCCTCCCCTTCGGCCCCATAGACTCCTTTTGCTTGTCATGCCTCCAAAAGCCGCCTTCACTTAGTCCTCTCCTGGCTCCCAGGTCCTTTCTGGCCCCAGCAATGTATCCCTGAAGTCAGCGCTGCACCTGGGAGCAGCAGGCGCTTGAGAACCACTTGTTGAGTGAACGGTACTGGGGAGAGAAAGCATAATGAAGTTGCTATGAAGGGACACTGTGCAGCTTATTACAGAAGAGCCCAGGAAAGACTGACAAGGGTCGAGTGCGTGGGGGCTTGAGTGTAAAGTGGGGGAGAGTGGGGAGTAACTCGGCAGGGTATCGAGTGATGACTGTTACTTCGAGTAGATGGTGTTGAGCAGAGAGCCTTTGAAAATTGGGTGGAACATAGTGAGATGTGCACACAAACTTCAGAGATAAAGTTTCTAGAAATTCAATATCATGCCACACAATACTGTGGCATGATACTCTGAAAAGAGGCCTGTGCTGTAGGTTCAGAAATTCAGAAACGTAACTCTTACTGTAATCGCAAAAGCGATGCATGTGGAAAATATGGTGATCACTGCCCTGGCTGCAGAGGGGAACGTGGGGAAGTGTCGGGTGGGAAGAGTGTGACACAGACGTGGTTTGGAGCCCAGAATCCCCCTGGACTGGCTGGGAAAGCTGCCGAGGTTCACAGAAGGATAAGACACGACGAGATGTGCTCTGCCCTGATTCTCAAGTAGAATATATTCAAATGTCAAAGAATGGATTAAGTACAGGCAGAAGGGGATTGAAGCTAGGCGAAAGAGTAGTAAACCCATTCCAGCTACTTTAAATGTCTTTGCCTGAGCAAACTGCTGCCTAGATTAATGGACCTGCAAGTGAGGTTTTTTTAATTGCAGTATTTAAAATGGAAATGTAGAAGCTAGATGCCTTAAACTGTTCACCTCGGTCTGTGTATCTTGTCAGTGTTGGAAAGTTCTAGAATGGATTATCAGAAGGACATGATCATAGTTGACATGTACTGATTCCTCACAACCAAGTACTGCTGGTATTCTCTTTTTCAGATAGTTTTTTGGCCAGTTACGGTTAACGGGTGTTGGTCTTTCTGATATCAAATCGCAGGTAAAAGGGGGCTGGAAAGGTTCTATTTCTAAGGTAAATCAGGCGATAGAGTAACGTCGTGCTGAGCAGTGATTACTCAGAACCAGCAGAGTAAGTAGAAGTCATGTTTATTGGTTGATTTTTTAGAAAAGAAGGGAAGGAGAGAAATGTCGGTTTGTTGTTGTTCATATTCATTCATTCATTGGTTGATTCTTGCATGTGCCCTGAGCGGCAGTGGGACCCGCAACCCTGGCATAACAGACACCGCTCTGACCAACTGAGCTACTTGGCCGGAGCAAAGTCATGTTTCCTTCTTTGATAGGAGTACTAGTTTTGTTGAACAGGAGTATCACACATTGGTAAGAGCAAGGCGCTTGGCAGCGTTTGGCAAGGTGCTGGGACCTGTGGCGGGGAGCTCGAGCACAGGGGCTGGTGCGGCTCAGCGGATCCACTGGGGGCTGGGCAGCCGTTGGAGTCTGTGTGGCTCTGACCATGGCCCTGGCCTAGTCACTTTTTCAGGTACTTAAGACCTAAAAGAAATCTTAGGTTAACATAGAGCCAGAAGTGATAGTTAATTTGTTAGATGTTAGATGGGAGAATCAAATAAAAGGAGTCACATAAAACTTACTGATAGTGAGGTTCTACATTTGGGTACAAAACTCCCACTGCTCATGCTTTAGTTGTGGCACCTAGAAAAGCCAGGACTTTGGGTGGCTGCTCCAGCCTGGCATTGGTATGGGGATGGCTTCCAAGGAGCTGCTGCATTTGACTGCCCTGGCGACATTTTTCTGTTTGTCCTCCGCCGAACGTGGATCTGTCCCAGGCCACCCTAGAACAGTGCTGGTTCTCAGCTAATGCCTGTGGAGGGAATGGAAGAGATGAAAGAAAGCATTGCTTCTGATACCCTGACTACTATTTCAGGTTCCGTAGTTTGTACACTTAAAAACCCTGGCCGTCAGACCGGGGTGACCCGACCGCAAGGAGCGGGCGCCTGCTGCTTTCATCGAAGCGGGTCTGTCGGCCGAGTGGAAGCTGTGTCGTCTGTGGTCACCAGAGCTTCTGCTGCAAAGAAAAGGTTTTGGAGATGAAGAAATTCGAGTTTATACAACCAGTGATAGAATTTGAATGTACATTTTTCCTGTCTTTGACAGATCAAAAGTTAGGAAGATAACATCGTTTCTCCTAATGTATACAATTTCATTGGTGAGGTGTTGTCTGTGAGGCTTCTGTCCACTCTGTGTAAGGTACTTTGTGATGTTAGATCAGATGTAATGTGCCTTGAGGGCTGCGTAAAGGTGCACGCAGTCCTGAAATTACTCCTTTTTCTTTTCTGTGAATTAAGGGAGATCAATGTGTGAGTTGTTTACAAAGTGGGACCCTGGTACACTTATGCTGTTCACATTAATAGTTGTTTTAACTAATTTCTGGTCTGTCGAAACTCATATTTTTGTCAAGAGTTTTGGCTTATAAATTTTCAATTAAATACTGAAAATTACTGTGGTCCTGACCAGGTGTGAAGATTACGATCCCTGACGTACAGAGAGGGACATCACCCCAGCTTCTCTTCAATTCACATGTGCCCCCACAGTTCTGGGGTAGACCCCCTTTTAGCCTCCAGCTGTCTCTCAAATTCTGTTACGCGCCACTGTCCTCAGAGTGGGTACGGCCGCTCTGTGTTTGCTGAAATAAAGGACCTGGTTGTGCAGCAAAGAGGGATGATGAGAAAAGATTTGATGTGTTTGTCAGTACACCTGTGAGTAATTTGAGAAATAGCATCTTCAGAGATTTGTTCACGTACACCCACATTAGAATCTTTAGAAAACTAAGGTTTAGGTAATTTTGGAATAGGACTTGAGAGTAAACACTGTAGAGCCATTGTAAAGATAAAGAGAACATACGTTGATACCGTTTTTCTGATTTCCTTAAGGTTTCATGACTTACCTAGTGGAGCCTTTGTTCACCGAATGGGCCAGGTTTTCCGACAGCAGGCTGTCGCAGACGATGCTGGGCCACGTGGGGCTGAATAAAGCCAGCTGGAAGGGGCTGCAGAGAGAGCAGTCCAGCGGCGAGGACACGGAAGCTGCGTTCGAGGAGTTGAACTCACAGTTATTACCTCAGGAAAACCGGTTGTCCTGACCGCAGTCAGTGCGGCAGCCTGCCTCCGGAGGCTCTCGGAAATGTGAAATGGGGGCTTGAGGTGAGAGAACTTACTCCCGACCGCCAAGGTTTCCGAGTGAATGACGCCAGCATTATTTATGTCCAGGATCTCCTGTTGGATCATTTGAACCCACTTTTTAATCATAAGACCTGAACATACAGCAATATGGATTTGGCTCTCACGTGAAACCTTGCGTCTGCAAAGCCCGGCAGGAGTGAATCTGGAAGGAATAACAAAGGAAGTTGTGAGGAGTGCCACGTGCTTCTCGAAGCATATATTCTTCGAACCATGAAACTTGAACTGAATCTTTCAGCAGAAATCTCTTGGAATTTAACCAGTCCGATGCCACATTGTGTATCTGCACCTTCCACTAAGTTCTCGCTGACAGATGGGGAATGTGAAGTGCCCAGCCTCTGCTGCCTCCGGCAAGACTCGATGTTTACAAACCAACTCTGAGATACTGCTTCTGAATTTGCCTTGGAGCACAATAGTGAAGGAACCACTAAGAATTTTGTAGATCAAACTTTCAACTGCAGCTCCTTCCCCCCCAGTTTGCCTTTTTTCTTCTTTGGATGCCACCAAAGCCTCCCCTTTGCTATAGTTTGATTTTGTGCACTGGAAACTGTGCATTATCCCAGAATACCGCCAAGCTTTCCCTCCAGTGCTGTTTGGCAGTGCGATTTTTTTAAACTCTTGGTTTTTAATTTGGGGCGGGAGGGGAAGAACACCAATGTCCTAGCTGTATTATGATTCTGCAGTGAAGACATTGCATGTTGTTTTCACTACTGTACACTTGACCTGCACATGCAAGAAAAGGTGGAATGTTTAAAACACCATAATCAGCTCAGGGTATTTGCCAATCTGAAATAAAGTGGGATGGGGAAGTGTGTCCTTCAGAGCAAGGGTCCTAAAGTCCCTTTCGCTGCAGTGAGTGAGAGGTATGTTGTGTGTGAGTGGCCGGATGTATGTTTGTGTGCATGTTTGTGCATGTGTGACTGTGCATGTGTTCTATTTATCCATGTGGGAAAGGATTGGATATGTAAGCTTTTATTTATTATTTTGGAATGTGACGTAATGAGCAGCCACACTTGGGGGAGGGGAAGGTGGGGAAGCTGTACAGATGCTCCAGTTGCCTTAAACTATGCACAAAGCTAAGTGACCAAACTTACTGTTTTGATTTGAAAAAAGTACATTGTTTTCTTGTCTCCCTCCCTCCCCATCCCCTGCCTTTGGATGAAATGATACCCTCTGATGGGCCTTTTGATGTGAACAGATGTTTTGTAGGACAAAATCTAAGGACTAATTTTAAACTTAAAACATTCCACTTTTGTAATTCGTTTTAAATTGTTTTATGTATAGTAAGCACAACTGTAATCTAGTTTTAAGAGAAACCAGTGCTTTCCTTTTAGTTCAATTGTATTTCCCTTGTTACTGTAAAAGACTGTTTATTAATTATGTTTACAGTTTGTTGCAACAGCCATTTTCTTGGGAGAAAGCTTGAGTGTAAAGCCATTTGTAAAAGGCTTTGCCATACTCATTTTAATATGTGCCTGTTGCTGTTAACTTTTGATAAATAAAAACCTATCTTTTCACATTTTTATCTTTGATATTTACCTTATAATTAACCGTTTGGAAATCATAATGCTAAATTTCTAGGAAATCAAAGATGTAGCTTTTTGACTGTAGCATTCACTTACCAGATATGTATTTGGGCAAAGCTGGGTGCAGGCACAGTGCTTTGGGGTGACCTGCACCTCACCAGCCAGCAGGCCGACCCCCTGGTTACGTAGTTTGCTCAAAGGTCAGCTGTGAGCCCAGGCCTCTCGACCCCACAGCCTTTTGTCCCCACAGATGTAAATTGCGCAAGACTCAGCACCTCTTGCAAGTACTAGGGTATTATTTGTATTGGCCTTTTTTAAGTAATAAGAAACAGCCACTTAATTCTACTTGATTGATACTGATATAAGAAAGGTACCACTGGGCCTCTTCTGTATCTTCCCAACTCCAATTCATTAGAAGGGATGCAGTGCAGACTTTAAAATCAAACATTGTCAGTGCTGGCATAGAAGAGTGACGTCCAGTAGAAATGTAATGCTAGCCACGAAAGTGATTTTCAAGTTACTAGTAGCCACATTTAAAAAAGGAAAATTCCATTTATTCTGATTATATATATATATATATATATATATATATATGCTTCCTCATTTCAATATGTAGTCATTGTAAAAAGCAATTGAGATGTTTTTTTTTTTGGTACAAGTCTTTGGAATGTGGTATGCATTTTACACTTAACAGCTCATCTCAAGTTATACTGGCCACATTTCAACTGCCAGTGTCCACATGTGGCTCGTGGCTACCATACTGGACGGTGTGGGTACATTAGTCTGATGGTAGCAGAGCTGAGTGTTCCTGGGGAAAGTCAGCTGCCCCTTATATGAGGTGGCTTCACTTTGGCAAATTGGATGCATCCAAAGTCTGATAAAAATTTTTGCATAGACCAAGTGAGCTTCATAGACCAAGGGTGTCAGCCCATGGAGTGTGGAACGATATCATAGGAAACTCACATTAACAGGGCTCACAGTAACTGATGTGTTTAAAAAGTTAATGTTTAGATTTACAATGGGTAATATAACTGTCAATCATTCTCTCCCTTTAGGCAGATCTTGGCAGATCTTCAGCTGGTTACTTGGTGAGCATGGAGTCTGAGCAAGGGAAGCAAGTTGCCTCATGCGTCCATTTCCCCGTGGGCCATACCTGCTGATATTCATGTTTATGGAGCAGGGCTCCCTCTGCCCATGGACGATGCTAGAGGGTCTCTGCCGGTAGCTGCTTCTCCACGTCAGCTTCTGAGTGGCACTTCCAGTAGATATGTCAGTACCTTCATCCTTGTCTTGACTGAACTGGCCTGGGCTCCATCTGCCTCGGTCTGGTTGATTGCTTCTGCTCTGATCTACTATTTCTTATTGATAGTCAAAGGATTGTCTTATTTCCATTCTCAGGGGGGAGACTCCTCAGGTTGCTCCCATTTCCTGCCTAACACATAGAACACACCCATTGAACTGTTTTGTTTTGTTTTTTTGTTACGTATATGTGGGAATCACTGTCTATAGCTCTGCTTTTTGACTATATGAGGGGGGGACCCAAAAAAAACCAGAATTTATAAAAATTATGTATTTATTCTTCTATGTTTAAACCTCAGTCACCTTCAAAGTACTCTCCATGTGATGCAATACACCTATCAAGACTTTTTCCCCACTGCTCAAAACTTTTTGAACTTGTCAATTTTGATGCCTTTTTGTGCTTTTGCCATTTTTTGTTTTATTTCTTCCATATTGGCAAAACATTTCCCTTTGAGGGCTTTCTTCATCTGGGGAAACAAAGTCACTCGGGATGAGAGTGGGTGAATAAAGAGGGTGGGGAACTGGGGTCAAGTAGTTTTTAGTCACAAACTGAATTTATCACCCATCATGAAACAGGCTAACACTGTGAAAGTCTTCAAAAAAAATCCAGTGAAGCTGAATGCATCCTCTCACAACACCACCAGCTCGTACATTGACACAGACGGGTTCCTAGGACACTCACCGAGCAGGGGAAGCCTGTGCTACAAGGGGCCTGCCCTGCAGAGATAATTCCAGTTTTTGTTGGGTCCCCCACCTCATATTCCTTGAACTTTAATTTTCTAGAAATAATTGAGGAAACAGTGAAATAATTTAGAAGACCGCATTTAAAATAAGTAATTAGATATGGAACAGAATGCCAAATTTTGAAGATACAACAGGAGACTTCAAAGAATTGTTGAGCATGAGCAGCCCATTGGAGCTGTAGCCCCAACTCTTCAGTCGTAGGGGGTTATCTCCTCTGCTTGGGGGTAAAGGTCCTTGGGGAGAAAATTTTGGCAAGCCTTAATGAAAAAAATCTGATTCCTGGTCAATATTTGTACCTTTGTAAATGTGATGGTTCACAATGACTCTATGTATAAAATAAGTAAATATTTTATGTCCTTTGCAAACCTGGGAAATATATCTGTACCTGACATACAGGTTTAGAGGTGCTAGTAATTCTTTGAAGATTCCTATAACAGTCTTTTTCCAAAATGTTTTCTTGGCTCTTAAAGCTTTCAGTTTTCTTAAAACTTTTACATTAGAGGTTTACAATGTTTTCATGTATATTTTTTAAAATGTATATTTTGTTTAAATCCCCACCCAATCAGTATCTTCTGCTTGGGAAAATAGATATGACTGACAGCCACTATGCATTCAGTAATCATTTTAAACAAAGGTGCGTATTAAAACACCATAGTATAAGCATACATTTGAAGCATAAGAAGATTGTATGGATATGCGTAAAAGTTAGTCTGAGCCATTTCTTACTTGCTAAGGATCTACAGACAACCTGTGTCTTTTGGAAGGCCCCCTAACGGTCCATGGTGGAATGGCCATTCTTGGGGGCGAGCTGACTGGTGGGGTGGGGTGGGGAGGGGACACAGGTCTCCTTGTCTCATTTTCAGCATAGACTAGCATAAACTGGGCCATCAATATGTGGTTGTTGAACAAGTAACTTGGTGTTTTAATTTTATGTTTTCCTTTTTAGCTATTTATCATAAGAGAAATTATACTGAAACTAGTCTGTTTATGCTGAAGTTATGTGGTAAGCAATACCCGAGTTCCTGTTGTGTGCAGAGCACTGCGCTGGATGTAATAAAGGTATTAAAAATTTCAAGACATGGCCTCTGTTTTCAAAATGTTTGGGTGACCAAATGATGTGTGAAGTGTTATTCAATATGGCAGGCTTCTGTATTGTACACAATGAATGTAAGGTGTTGGGGTGTTTAGAATGAATGATTTAGTTCATTAATTTGCTTCCATGTTGTCAGCTGTTCCCAATGCTTTTTAATGCATTTTTCATTTACTGAATTCTTCAGCTCGATTTTACTGCTTTGTTTCAGTCTCTTTAGTAAAGTGCTCCTGTTCCTTAATTTTATCCCTGAGCCATTGAACTGCCTAAAGTTTCTTGGATCTCATTTTTTCATGATTTTGAGTTTATGAATTGTTTTCCTTGTGTTACTTTGGTTGTTCATGTGATTGAGGTGTTGGTGCGTTTGAAGTAGTGAGCACCTTATTTCAAGATGACAGAGGTCTTTCATCTGTTTTTGCGCTGTGTGGAGCACGAGCTTGTTTTCTCTTACCTGTGCTACTTGTGCCCCGGCAGTGATGGCGTGGTGTCCCTACTGTGGTGGGGTTGCCTGGGTCTCAGGGCACTGCCGCTGTAGTGGGAGAATATGGCGGGTGGGGGGAGCCAGGTTTCCCCTACTCACCCTCCCCGGGCCATGGTGTGGGCACTGTGCCCTTCCTTCCCACCATCCTGCCTCCCCTGTGCAGTAATGTGTGGACCTCTCAGGCTTGCTAGTGTTGAGCAGAGGAAACTTTGTTGGGTTACAGATGTCCAAATGGTGTAAATTTAAGGGGATACAAAGGGCTCTTCTCCACCATGATGCTAAGATTGTATGAGATTCTTGAGCATAAATTTCAAGCGCTTATTGTTGAGCCATAATCAGAAGGCTGCATGATATTCCTTTATTCTACCTGAAATTCATGTTATTTATCTGAACTTTTCAAAGGAAGTAGTATCCTTGGCTGCCGGAAGCAGAACCTGCAGTTTGGTCATTCTGTGATGCAGCTCATTACTGCATCTGCTTACTTTACCCACACTCCTCCTTTTTAGTCGTGGGTCCTTGGGCAAGCTACCTAATCTTTTGAGGGGCTTCCTAAACTGTAAAATGTGTTTCTTAAAAGTAAAATAATGTATTGACACACAGGCACATGCCAAATCAATGCCCTAATTCATTTCCTCATAATCCGTTGAGTATAAACTCTTCAGGGACACAGTTGTACTTCCCACCATCCTTAGTTGAGCTCCAGGTACCAGCTGCTCCCCTTTGTTCGGGTTTCCTGTTCAAATTCTGAGGGAAACTCTCATGGGACCAGCTTATCAAGGCTGTGTCCCTGGTCAAACACCAGTCTGAGCATTACCAGGTGTTCCTTGTAGAAGGGAAGGCAGAAGTTCAGATGCTGCTGTTTGCCTTAGAGTTGGGTTAAGAAGTATTCAGATAACTAACCCTGAGATCAGTCTCTTGTACCCCCCCCACCCGTGTTGCCAACACCCACATTTCAGATGACAACCCAACCACAGTAGTTCTCACCCTTTGATAAAAAGCACACCTGACCAATGAATAGGGACGGCCATTAGGCAACATCAACAGCAGGCTTTTCATAACCTCCAGTAAAAATCTTGTTATGAAGAGTTTGGCCTTTCTCCCCAAATTAAGGCTTCTCCAGCCAGGAAGAAAGCAATTATGAGGGACAGCCCTATAATAGCCATGGTGCTTTTTTTTATTATTTACCTTCCCTGAGGAGGTCTGATTTACACTTGACTCTTATGGAAGGAGCGCTTTGTGACCTTTAGAACAGGCTGCAGAAGCTACCAGAGGAGAAGTTTAGAAAGCTCCAGCTGTAGGAACACTGAGGCATCTGGCACAGGGGAAGTGTGCTCGACAGTCTCACAGGGAGACATGGGTGATTTCTGGGTCCTGATTTGGTCAGGCTGTTTTTATCATCCTATGTGTTCTCTAGTGACTTCACTAGTACCAGGGAAGAACTAGCCTGCTTACGGGTTTTATCAGGAAAAACTAAAAAGAATGTTAAAAAATAGGGTTAGTGAGATAGCTCAGAAGAATGCTGAATCTCTAGGATGAGAAAGGGAAAGGACTCAAGAATGGCTGGAAGTTCATGAGAAATGAACTGTGACAACAGGCATAACTGATACTGTCATTAAACCAAGTGTCTCATTCTGCCTGGACAATCCCAGAGCTGACTTTATCGGGTTAACGCCTCAAAGTCTAAACTTCCACCGGCCAGATTCTCACCTAGAGAGAACATCTATTTTTGGTAAGTTATCAGGAGAGATGGTTTTTCCCAAGTATTTGTTTTTGGTAGTTGTCCCCTAATGTTATCTTCTTTACCACTTACATATAGGAATTCTTAATACAGCAAAAAGAATAAGTTCGTCTGCAGAAGAGCTTGTGACTAGGGAGACAACCAGAACTAAAGACGGCAAGTCCTACTGCTCTACCCTAAGCCTGTGCAGGTGCCAGGGACCAACCACATATAGGAGAAATCCACCGACTGGAAACTACAGTGACCACATATGAAATGATGTAAGAAATAACTCATTTACCACTCTACTTACTGTTCACAGAATGTGTTCAAAATCATTATTTCATTTAATCTTCAACACTTTTTTGAGCTGAGCATTCTTCCATTTTAAAAACAGGTGTGACTTGGCCAGGATCACATAAACGGATTGTGTATAACTCCCAAGTCCAGTGTCCTCTGACTCATACTAGGTATATATATACAGTAAGTCCCTGGATTAGTCAGAATCACAGTAGGCAAAACATTACATTAGCTCTTTAACTTTTTAAACCTCAGCTATAAAATGCAGAGTTAAACTGTTTTTAAGATCTTGCACTTCTGGTGTATTGTGTTGGAAAGAGAGAACCAGAAACTGAATGAGATGGGTATAGGGGAAGAGAAAAGATTTCACCAGTCCCAGTAGTAGAGTGAGTACAGGCTTCCAGACTTGGCAAAGTCATCCCAAGTGACCACCCTTCTGTTTTAACGCCGAAGTCCCATGAAGAGAAAGGTGAATGAGAGGCAATATAATTTATTTTAAGGAATACATTTCCATTTGAAAACTGTAGAAAGCAAGTTACTCTTAAGTTATGTGAGCAATAAAAAAACCCCACATACAGGCTTTATGGTCCAAGGATAATTAAAGTTTGCTTTATTTCTAAATAGTAACTTCCTTATATTGGAGTACTGATCAGAATTCAATACAAATGTAAATTTCTTAGGCAGTCAAAATATGTCTGGTAACTTCAAAGGCAGAATTTTTTAAACCATGTAAAACAATTATAAACAATGTACATCAACAGCATGTGTAAAATAAGCCACAGTTCAAATTTAAGCTGAACAACTAAACCATGTAAAGTACCTCAACTAATATTTGCTAACATCTAGAACATTGCACGTATTTTCAATAACTTAAAAGGTCTGCCTATTATTCTCCCATTCACCAGAGGAAACAACTTTTTAAAATTAGATTTAAATAATAAATCCTACCATTTACTCATGGAAGGAGATTCTGGCTTTAACTAGAGTTGAGGTTAACAGAAATGAAGATCATGAAGGTTTATCAAGTATTTAAAAATTATCTCAGCAATTCATCAGAGGCCCTGGCTAGAGAAGAAAGGCAGTTTTCCGCTTTTTAATAATAGCTAAGGTTTATGTTGCATAATATGATTCAACAAAACAGCATTCTGGCCAATGATCAACACCTGATAGGAAAATTTTCACCTATTCGGTGTTCCATTTTAAAGCTACTATTTTTGACCAATATTAAAACAGTTTAAACTCCATTATGCCTACAATTTCCAGAAGTATTAACTTAGCAAACAAGTCATTTTTATGATGCCATTTATTAAATTGAAAGAAAAACATGTTACTTTCTGATTTTTCCTTACAAACAGATTTAATTCAATTCTTTGATTCCTCCCTATTTGAAAACTACATTTTCTTCCTCAGACTGGATGGCACTGAGGTGACTTCCCTTTTTAAAGGAAAGCCTTACGGAATTTTAGCAAACCCCATCTCCGAGGAAATGTGAGAGAAAAATCTAAGATAAAAGTTCTGTTCAAGGTAAGACGATTCCAATCTCAAATATTTCATTCCAACAACTGTGTTAGGCCAGCTCTTCCGTCATTGAATAGTAAACGAATTGCTGAAAACAAGTAACAGTGCCCTCATTATACAATTTTACATAGACTGCTTTATGTCCAAATATACGCATATAGAAAGAACACTTGTACAAATTAGTGTTAAGAGTTAAAAACGCCTATCTACAAATGTCCTTTCTTCATTGTAAGATCTATATAATTATTTTCAAAACTGGGAATCTAAACATCCTGACTACACATTAAAAACATGTCAGAATAAAGTATGTTCTGGAAAACTTCAGAACTGACCTTCGGATAAAAAGCAAACAAACTTAAGAGTGCTTTTGCTATTGCTTAATCCTGTGTTATATTTAAAAGGAAACTACTGAATACTAAATTCAGATATTTACTAGATAGTGTTGATTTCCACTAGCCAAACAGCCCTAACGAACCAACAGGGGAATCAGGTTTCTCAGGTCCTTGTCTATTAGGAATCTGAAACATTTTCAATTAAAGCCTTCATTTTTCCTGTAGACTTCAACATGTGTGGCCCAAACTAGAAAAGAAACAAACAAAAGATATTGGTTTTATATCATATAACAGCAATGATATATCCCTTCCCAAACATGCATCAAAGGGCTCTTATGTCCTATATGAAATATAAAAAAAAATCAAGAAGCCAGATATTAAAGATTTTAATGGATGGACAGGTTGTTGTAAGTATAATAATAGAACAAAAGGCAGAGGTAACCAAATTGCTTCCTAGAAAACTACAGTCACCTTAACTTGGTCATTTTACTTCTGTGAGTAAAAGAAGAAAGTACCACAAAGTTTCCTTTTCAGTATCTAAAGAGTTTCAAAGATGCTAGAATTTCTAAGATACATGGCACTCTGGAATAGATAAGCACATGTCCCCCACGACAGTAAATTGAATAAAAGGAATGTAGGAAGTAAGAACTGAGATTTCATGGAAGCCCCTATCTCCATCTGAGACAGCACACACACCCTGCAAAAGCCCAGGTCAATTCTCACCCTCTTCAGAAGACTTTCAGAGGGCGCCCCAAGCGAAAATGATCTTTTGTTCACTTTAAATTTCTGTATCACAACATATAGTCAAGTCCTAAGATAAATTACCATTGGAGATGTTAAATACTGAAATTAGGGGTCAACTTTTACTTCCTTCTTTATGCTCGTCTGTAAGTTATCTGCTTGTAAATCCTGTGGCACATCCCATTCAAATCTTAACAGAGGACACAGCTGATCACTGGTAAAATGGAAGTGCTCAGCAAAGAAGTCTGAGGCAATACTCACCAACACTGTTTCTGAAGTAGCCTCTGATGCAGACTTTGAAATTCCTTTTTCAGCCTCATCTTGGCTATCACTTCGATACCGGTAAGCAAATTTCTTTTTCAGAGCCTCTGCTATGAGGGCAGCAGGGTCAGCAGCATCCACGGGTTTGGGCTTTATATCTTGTTCTGACCTTAGAGAAATGAACAGAAACCGGGGACACTTCAGTGTGTTAGCGTGCCTCTCGACACCTGACAGCACTTCTCTATCCCCACTAGTACGCAATGAAGACACTGCTGGCAGTGGGATGAAAGTCTAGATTTAAGGCTCAAGAAAAAAGCACAAAGGTGCCCAGTGAATAACCACTCAGTTCATCGCAACAGCACTGATTATGCTCTTTCAGGGCAAGTCCAGTTTCATTCTTCTTTGGAAGCCTAGTGACTACCATAGTGGGTACACAGCAAGGCTTTATTGACTGAATTGACTGACAATGAAGACTTTACATGAAATGCAATGGGAAAAAAACTGAAAAGTAACCTTTTCAGTTTCCTCTGCTAATCTTTTAGTTAACTATGCATAGGAGCTACCAGGGGCCCATTCTTTATAAATTGAAAACTTAGAACAAGTTCTTAAGAAGCCCAGTACTTTGTTTTACAAGACATTTAAAAATGAGGGAAGTGAGAAAGAAGGTAAATATAGCCTCACCTTTTTACTGACCGAAGTTTTACACTGTTCATGTCTTTAAGGATCTCTAGCATATTTGGCATATCAGGTTTCTTTGGACTGTGCTTATCCAGTGTCTTCCCAGCACAGGCTTTTTTCTCTCTGCGCTCTCTGATCAGATCAATAGCAGATGTACTTTGGTGGAGCGTTGAGGGAGGGAGGGGCGGCGGAGGAGGTGGTGGTGGAGGGACAGAGGGTGGTGGGACAGAGGGCGGTACTGTGGCAACAAGGCAAATAAAAATTTTAATTATGTTGGAGACTTCTGTATACCTGAAAACAGTATCTTTAAAGAATCTCAGTTACGTAAGTAGAAAGGAAGTTTCACTTACTTGGTTAGAATCTAAATGCTTGAATCTCAGTCACTGTATCATTTAATACCAAACTCTCCAGATGGAAAAGTTCCATTTAACTTAACAGGAGTTTTTTTGTGATATCAAATGTTCAAGCCTGACTGTGGCACAGTTTGTAACTACTTTTAGATGAAATATAAAGTAGTCTGTACTGCATAAATACCTATCTTTATTATATACAATTAGATAATTTAGTATATGAAAACTTTCTAAAAACTGTTGAATAAATTTTTATTCACTTACAAGATTTCCTAAACATTACATACCTGCACTGACTAGACTGTGTTTGAAAGAAAAGATTTAAGATTACTGAATAATTTCTGGGTGAAAAAAAGTGTTCATAAAATAAGGACCTAAAACTCAGCTTTCTGCATAATTAGAGGTTAGAGAGTCTTCTGTTGGGTGAACTACATTGCCTACGGGGTGCAAAAAAGTTTTACTTGAGGGTTTAGACCATAAACAGACCACCGACTGCAAATCCCCAAATTATCTCACTATTTAAGGCACTTTTCCTAGTCTGCCAGGACAAGGACGTAAAGCAAAAGAGAACTGCAATTTAAAGTTAGAAGAAAAGGGCAGGACTTCTGGTTTTTAAAGTCACACACAAATTTCATTTAACACTGAATGCTACTCAAGTATTGGTGCCTATGGTGCTTTCACCCTCCATCCCCCTTGGCAGTACCCAGGTCGCATGAGGTTTCCATGTGGGATTACAGTAAACTCCAGGAGCACTAGCAAAGTCCAGAGGCAGAGTAACCACCCTTCTCCTTTAGACAGAATTGGTTAATCCTTAATCTAGCCAGGACTGGGGAACAACAGGAGGAAAAACAACTACTACTGCCAACAGGTTAATGGACTAGGATTTCAATCCTGTGGTTTCTTCTCCAAAGTGACAATGCCACACAAATGAAAGCAGCGGTATGAGACCAGGAGTCAGAGGACCTGAAAGCAGTTTCTACTCTGAACAAGAGAAAATGACTGAAGTAGCTACAATGTGTTAAAGGCATTTTGTGTGATTACCATTTTCTCCTACAGTACCTCCACAGCATAGGTACTGTTACTGTATTTTGCCATGTATATGCACCCACATTCTTGGACCAAACTAAGTAAAAAAATCTGTAAACGTTTTTAGTTCAATTTTTTATTTATATAAAACCAATGATCATAATTCCAGGGTATTTTGCATATCATTGCTTTCTAGGGTTACATTTTTAATGCATAAGCATAAATAAAAGAAAAATATTTACATAGATATGGAATTAGCACTACTGATGTATAATGTACATCCTTATTTTTCCCTCAAAAATTTGGGCAAAATGCACATTACACATGGCAAAATACGGTAGTCCCATTCTAAAGCAGGAAAGGGAGGGAGGCAGAAAGGCTAAGTACTTGCAGGTCAGTAAATAGCACTCAACCCTGGCAAACTGTTTTGAGATGACCCCATGTCTGACAGGACCGGTGCCATGAAGTTTCCCACAGCGTTCACCTAGTTAGTAATTCAAGTGCAGGACTTTGAGTGTTTTCCAAATATACCCACGTGTCAACCTCTCTGATGGCACCAAGTTTGTTCAAAACCAACAAACAACCACTTATACATGACTGGGTCCTAGACTACACTATGCAAAGAGGACTGACTCTTGTTTTTTGTTTTTTTTTAGCAACCCCATTGGCTATTACTTGCTAATAAATTTTGAAATTAGAGACATTCTTCTGATTTCCAGTTTGCTGGTTAAAACAAAAAACAGGATTTACAAACCTGCAGTAAGATTTTGCTGTTCTTGCAGGGTCACGATTTTGGCAATCTGAGCTCTGAGAGCAGCAAGTTCATTTTCAAGAGCACAGATCTTCTGCAGTGCTTCCTCATTTGCCAGTGGTGTCTTCAGTTGAGGCTCTTCCGGAGACAGGTTTGGTAAGGAAAACTGCCTGCTTGGGGGCTTCTCAAAGAAGGGAAGGTCATCATGAAGGGGCTGCCTTGACCTGACCTCTGTCCTGCAAGGAAGACATTAAGTCTGGCTGTCATAAGCTTTGTAAGAAAATATTAAAAACATTGCCAATTAACCATACAATAACACCTGAGAACCTTTTAGGCTGATCTTACATAAATTCTCTAAGTTTCGAAGCAACAAAGTACTTGTCAACTTAATGTAGGCACATACATACCAGGCCCGGGTTTCTTGTCACCATCATTCTTTTGAATCTCTGGATAATGTGTACAAGGCATCAAAGACTCCAATTGGTATTCTGTGTTGATTTGAACTAAGACACATTTTAATGCTCCTAAAAATGGTAAACTAATTACTAGTTGTAATGACAACAAAATCAAATCAGTAATGCATTAGCCCTTCCACAGGGTCTTGGCTTCTGCATTTCAATGTCTGTATTAATCAAATTGCAAGACAAATTGGGCCTAATACAGCACCAGAAACCTAAAAGAAAAAAAAATTGTAATTGAACCCATTTAGTAACTACATGGTAACTAAGTAATCACTTGGGTGTAAAAAATGTAGTGTTCACTGCTCCACAGCTCCAAATGGAAGTCTTTTGGGGTTGAGAATAAAATTCAGATTTCTTCTGAACTGTGCATTTGTATACTTATCCATCTCTTCCTATTTTCCACAATTAGGATTTCCTGGTCTCTGAGCGCCCCCTACCTCTATTTTCCTTCCAGCTTTAATGTAGATATAATTGACAATTAAATAGTGTACGTATTTAAGGTGATTTGATATGTGTATATATTTTGAAATAATCACCACAATCAAGTTTATTAACATATTTCAGCTTCCCTCAGTTTCATGTGGTCATGTTCTGGTTAACAAGATGCCTGCAGACTGTTGTGAGACACCTAGGAAGGCTGCTTAAAGGGAAATGACTCCATGAAAACATCCTCTCATCTCCAGCTTCACAACCCTTCTTCTCCTGAGAGCAGCGAGTGCCACATGATGTCTGAGTTTGAGAGTTGTAGAAGGCCAGGCACTAACCTTGACATGAAGCCAACACTAAGGACGGCAGAGCCTTGGCTGGGTCCCTGAGGACTGTGGAGTCACTGTCAGCTCCAGACTATCTACTTTGGTTGTTTTTAAGAGAGAAATAAACTAGATGGAGAGAAAAATAAACTCACATCCTGTTAAAGTCACCATTATTTTGGGCTTCTCTGTTCCATACAGTCAAACTTAATTCTAATGTTATAATAATATTAAATTCTATTTTATTTTTCCTTTAACTGGATATTGGTATTTTACTTTCACTTGAGAGTTGTGATAATTCTTCATTATATCTATGTTTTGAATGGGGAATTTTTGGATTCTTAGCTTTTTGGTATTAAGCATTGATTTCAGGTGTTTATATTTAATCTGTTTATCCCCTGTTAATTGACCTACCATACACAGAGGATGCTTGCAAATAGTTTTTTTTTAATCTGTAACATTATCAAACAATAATGATGTCTTAGTTCTTGCCTAGCAACTAACTTTAATAATACTAACTTTATTAATTTTATTTGGAATATGTGTGGGTTAAGGAAATGTGTTTGACCTGCAGAGCTTTAATTACTACTTTTATACTCACAAGGGGAAGGAACAGGTGATGAAATTTCTAGAAAAGTGCAAGCTTAAACATAAAGGTAAAATCATCTATAAGGAACAGTATCAATGCTTTGATTAAATACATGCTTTTTGAAACATGTTATATATGTTAGAGATTAGATGCACCACTCTAATCAATCTACAATAAAGAAATAATTTTAATAAGACATTAAATATAAAATCTTGGGAAAAATCACTGTGGCTCTGTTGATACAATAGGCTAAATTCTGATTTCTAATTACCTTTCAGAGATAGGAATGGGTCAAATTTGTTACACAGCTCTATAATTTAAAGAGATACTTCAAATCACAAGTGGACAGAAATTAATCTGTTGAAGTCTTGGGGGCTTTTACAGAGTCTTTAATACCAAATATTTAAATTTTTTTAAAAATTAATTTTAGAGAGAAAGAAACATCTATTTGCTGTTCCACTTATTTGTGCATTCACTGGTTGATTCTTGTATGTGCCCTGACTGGGAACTGAACCTGCAACCTTGGTGTATTGGAATAATGCTTTAACCAACTGAGCTACTCAGCCAGGGCCCACAACTATATTCGTGATAACTTTTTATGTTTTTAACAAAACTGAACACAAGAAAAATTTATTGAAAACTACATCTTGAAAGAACTAGGGGACCTGTGGGACAGGACAGTGGTAATGACAGAATTCTAGCCTTAGGAACAATCTGAGTAAAATATAAAAATCTCAAATGTAGAACTGAGTATGCTTGTTCAAAACAAGTGTCAAGAAAGTTGACACTGGAATAGTTGTAACTGAGACTGAATTTATACGAAACTGGTCAGAAGCAGTGTGTTCTCAGGACAGGATGGACACCACCACCATGGGAACCTGGAGGATGACAACTTGGATGGATGGGAGAGGAGAGAAACACAGAACAGGTGGATAAAGACTGATCCCTGTCCCCACTGTCTTTCACTTCACATACCTAAAATAATATATTTACATCTGAGTGTGGAAGTGAGGGTGCAGGTTTGTTCTTAACAACAAATACAGTGAAATTTTGGATACTGGAATCTTTAGTGCTACTGAACAAAAGTTATAGTTCTGTTTATACAACAACCAGTGGTCCCTTCAGTAGATAGCATTTCTTTACCTAATATTCTCAACGTCAGAGATACCGAAGGTATTGAAAGTTTGTAAATTTGTTTTTAAGTTAATTGTTATTATTCAAGTAAGGTGATCTTCAAATCCCATGAACATTTACTCTAACATATCCAAAACTGGAAGGAGAGAATTTGGCTTAAGATCAACTACAAGGCATGTCTAAACATCTTACTTTCTTTAAACTATCTTCTACCCAAAAAACTGTAAACAGAAATTAGTGAATACTGAACAGCAATTATAATAAAAAAAATTAATCTAGGGGAACTTCCACCAAGGTGGAGGTGTAGGTGGAAATTCTGTGCCTTCTCACACAACCAAGTTTAAGGACAACAAAGTTTTAGTCACAAAAAACGCAGCCAAAACACAGAAAAGTGAACTGTACCAAAGTCTGACAACAATGAACCCTTCAGCCAGACTGGTAAGAGGGGCGGAGTCAGCAACTGGTGGAACAGGGTTGCGCAGGAAAAGTCGACCAGACTGACACAGGTGCTCCGTGGCAGTTGGCAGATCCCAGGCGTGGGGTTGCAATGGGCAGACCCAGTGAGGGCTGAAGGTGGCAGGCTGACCACGGTCACACATTCGCACGCAGATAAACCAGCAAAAGAGTGAGCAGTGAGACAGACCGTGCAGGCCCCAGCAGCAGGAAGCATCAGAGGGGATCACCATTGCTCCTTTTTGACCCCACCCTCACATACAGTATCACAAACCAGGGACCTGGGTGGCCCCGCCCAGGTGAACACTTAAGGCTCCGCTCCTCATATGTAACAGGCACAAACAGACCAAAGAAGGACTCAAAACCCCAGAGCCCATTAACTCTAAGCAACAAAGAAATAGCCAAACTTTCAGATGCACAGTTCAAAACACTGGTGATCAGGATACTCACAGAACTGGTTGATTTTAGTCACAAATTAGAGGAACATATGAAAGCTAAACTAATTGAAACGAAGGGCAATGCACAGGGAACCAATAGTGATGGAAAGGAAACTGGGACTCAAATCAATGGAGTGGACCAGAAGAAAGCAAATAATGGCCAAACAGAAAAGAGTCAAGAAGCAAGAATGCAAAAAAAGGAGCACAGGCTAAGGAACCTCCAGGACATCTTTAAATGCTCCAACATCTGAATTATAGGGGTACCAGAAGGGGAAGAGGAACAGCCATGAGTGGAAAATTTATCTGAACAAATAATAAAGGAGAATTTCCCCAATCTGGCAACGGAAATAGACTTCCAGGAAATCCAGGAAGCTCAGAGAGTCCCAAAGAAGTTGGATCCAAGAAGAAACACACCAAGCCACATTATAATTACATTAGCCAAGATTAAAATGAAGGAGAGAATCCTAGAAGCAGCAAGAGCTAAGGGGACAGTCACCTACAAAGGAGTTCCCATCAGACTGTCAGTGGATTTCTGAAAAGAGACCTTACAGGCAAGGAGGGGCTGGAAAGAAGTATTCCAAGTCATGAAATCCAAAGACCTACAACCAAGATTACTCTATCCAGCAAAACTTTCATTTAGAATGGAAGGGCAGATAAAGTGCTTCTCAGATAAGATCAAATTCAAGGAGTTCATCATCATCAAGCCCTTATTATATGAAATGTTAAAGGGACTTATCTAAGAAAAAGAAGATAAAAAAGATCAACAGTGAAAGGACAGCAAACTCAGTTATTAAGAACCACACCTAAAACAAAAGGAAATTAAGAGGACAGCTAGATCAGGAGTGGAACCATAGAAATGAAGATCTCATGGAGGGGTAGCAACAGGGGCATGGGAGGAGAAGAATGGGGGGGAGAAAGTACAGAAAATAAATAGCATAGACAGTAGGCAGAAAATAGGGGGGAGGGCAAGAATAGTGTGGGAAATACAGAATCTAAAGAATTTGAGAGATGGTCATAAACTAAAGGCAGGGGGATGGTGGGGGGGGGAATGGTGGGGGACGGGGGGGTGGAGGGGAATGAAGGGGGGGAATAGAACAACTCTAATGGCATAATCAATAAAATAAAATTAAATAATCTAACATCTCCCATAACTCTTACAGGTGACTTTTATCCTTTTGTTTTTAGATCTACTGAAAATGAAGGACCAAGCACTCATTAATCTTGAATGTCAGTATGCCTGAGTAAGATTTAAAAGAAAAAAGCTTAGGGCCATTAGCAAAACGATTTAGGCAACAGTGTCAGATCCACATATATTTTACATCTATGCTATTTTTATAATTATTCTGCATTTCTCTATGAGATAATTTTGATGGCTATAGGTTTAAACAAAGTAATTATTAAAAATGTGTAAATTTAAATGTGGATTTTTATAAGCTGAAAAAGGAAAGTAATCCTTATATGATCACGTCTTAGAGAGATAAAAAGATCAACATCTACTGGAGCTCAAGAACAAAAAACGAACAGAAATAAGAGTTGCACTATAATATTCTTCCTTGTATATACAAAAAGTTTAGATTTTATGAAATTCTAACACATGCTCTTTGCTTTAACAACACACACATCCTTTTCTCACAGACATCTGTTTTGTAAGACAGTGAACAAATAAATCATTCTTAGAACCAGTCTGTTTTGCCATCCTTCCAAAAGCTATTAAGAACCAGAATTAAGGTAGGCCTAATGTAAACTAAGGGAAGTGCTCTTTAGATTTTTTGTGTGTATAATTCAGAGAGATTTTAAGGAACAAAAACCAACTATGGATGTCCCCAAAGCAGAATACAAACAGCTAAAATATGATTATGATTATTTTTTTGCACAGCCGGCTTAAGAAGAGATGAGGATACAGGGGACTTCTGGGCATCCTTTTGGCTTATAGCCCAGTGGGGAGCAAGGGAAGTGCTGGTCTTGTGGGAGAATAGAGCTCTGAGCAGGAGTGTTCTTAGCCACCCCACCCCAAAGTTGAAATCCTGTAAATGAAAACCTGTTTCCTTCTACATTAATTGCTGGCTTATGTATCAAGGCGATATATGGATGGGCCCATTTGCTTGGTTACACCACAGTGACAGATAAAGCACAGTAAGAGGGTTTACCTTCTTACAACAACTATTCCATCTTTCTTGACACTGTTGTTTTGAACAAGCATCCACGCAAACACCAGTGGATGCAGGTTAGGGTGAGTCCCAATAAAAACCTGTACTCTAAGCTAAAGGACCAAGAAAGGAACAGCCTCCCAAGACAGATAACTCCAGCCCACACCACATAAAATATTGTGGGCCCACCTCAACCATGCAGCAAAGGTCAACTTCCTGGTAAGCGCTATAATGAGGTAACTCAAACCCTGAAAAGTCTCAGAGAAGACAGGGAACAAGGACTTTTAAACAAGGCACCTCACCGCCCTGTGTACCAGCGGACACAATCTGGGGAGCCTGTTATTCCACAGAACGGTAACATGGCACACTACCCTACTGGTTGGTATGGTATCACAGGTGGCCTTGTGAGG